GTTCTTTACGGTGTTTACAACTCTGTAGTCACTCTGGTGGCTGAATCATTTTGCTATCACGTTAACTCTTACAAAGAAGTGTTCACAGACAATATTTATTTACTTATTTAAAAATGGCACCCTGATGCTGCATTACTTGTGCAAATAGATCTGCAAAAAAAAGAGAGAACTAGTAACTGAAAATAAAGCCTCGACTATGAGTACGGGTATCAGGATCATTTTTACCCTGAATGCTTTAATTTTATGATCGTGCTTTGAATTTTTAGTGTTTCTTTGTGAGCTAAACAAGCAAGTATCAAGCAGTTTTAGTCTAGTGTTTAAACTAAATTTCTCTGCTCGACATTTTCTTGTGTGGAAAGCAATTAAATTTTATTAGGTTGTTTGTGGTGGACTTCCCCATTTTGTGACCAATGTTCTTTTTTGAGAATATGAGTGGTAACTCAAAGCCTGGATGTTTAGCAAAAACTAATTTACCATAAAATTCCACAGGATGAATCAAAACGTAAGGTTTTCATTTCCATTCATTTTTTTAAGACTCCTGCATACAAGGAATGTCATTTCAAACAAGCAAAAATTACTTAGGATCTGATAATTCTGTCACACAAGCTTATCCTGGGACAACTGCACTTATTGTGCAGTTTTTCTGCTTAGCACCGCATGTACATCATTTCTGGTGTACAATACCAAGATAAGCAAAGACTATTGTTAAACCCATGTGATATTTCCTCATCATGAAGTATATTAAAAAGGAAATAAATGTTAAAACATTATATATATATATATATAGATTTGTATGTATATATAAAAAAGATGTAAATATAAATTATATATATGTTTTTACCTTACGTCTTTATACATATACGTCTTGGTATATATACATATTTTCTAGTGTCTTACTCTTTGTGATTATATATTTCCAAGCTTTCCTGAAATACTTGCTTACAATAATGTTTTGTTCCCAAATATGGATTTCACTTAGGGTTAAGAAAACAATTAGTGAGGCAATAACAATTTACTATTATTATAAATGTATAGCAAATAAAGGCCTTTTACAATAAACTTAATGATTTTAATTATCAACTGTGAGTCAACATTTTCTAGTTGTCTCATCAAATTGGAATTAGATGCAGAGCTGGGAATTTTAATTGAAAACATTCAACTTTATTTTTGGAACATGTTCCTGAGCTCCTACTCTGATTATTGTAGTATATGTCTATGCTATCACGCTTGTAAAATGTGGGGGTCTAATCTTGTTAACACTCAATTCTAGAAAGAAATCTGAGGAATTTCACTTCAGAAAAAAGGAGATTGTACAAAATGATTTCAGGCAAGAGAAGATTATTTCCATGTATAACAGTGTAGCTGAATTTACCTTACTAAACCTGAAAATAATTGATGCTGAATTACTAATTCTTATTGAATACTTACTTGCTACAAGCCTTAGTACAGTATCTACTACAAGCAAGACGTCTCCATTGAAGTAACTGCACTGAAAGCAACAGTGGAATGACATTTTATATTAATGGAGATTTGGCCCATTTGGAGTATTCACATCATCCACTTCAAGGTGTGCAACTCAGGGGCCTCCCTTCTGACAGTGCCTGCTTTCCCTCTCACAGCTGTGTAAGAAACTTAAGATAACTTATCTTCTGCGTTAAATATTTCTGGCATGTTCATTGTCAAACACTATGTCCTTAGAGGAATAAATTGGATAAAATGTGAGAGGGAGAAAAAATTAGGATACCTCAGTGCCCTGCATACCTTAAATTAATGTTTCTAAGGTAACTCAGTAAAGAAAGGTAAAAAAAAAATATTTGTTTGAGAAATAAGCACTTTAAGTGATAATGGCAGGAAGGCATTTCAAACAAATTTGCAGCTAAGTGAGGTTCACGCATAATAGCTGTCCTAGGCTTGCTCCAGACCAGTTTTGCTCTAGGTCTGTGAAGCCTGAAGGAAAGACAATTTTAAAAGATGTTCGAGGGAGACATTTCTCTGCACAGATACTTGGGTTAAGCTGACAAACTGCACAGCTACAGCTCTGGGCTTTGAATGTGAAATGTCCATAGACTAGAAGCAAGCCACTAGCTGTATGTACTTACCTATTTGTGCACTGTGACAGAGTACGACTGTCTTTTTTTCCAGTGAGGGTGGGACACTACTGACTCCTATTCAGCTTTGTGAGCCACACTCAGTAATAAGCAGTGGCACTAGTAGGTGCCAGCTCCACCTTGGAGTTTCCACCCCCAAGAAGTCATTCTGCTTCATGGAGAAAGAGGGTATGAGAAACACACAACAGGAAGAGGCGTGTTGGCTCTCTCCCCCCTTCCCTTAGAAACCTCCTCTTCGCTCCCCTCCAACCTTCCTTGTCCCTCGACTCCTGCAGGGGAGGGTCAGAGGCTAGAGCTGACAAGAGGTGAGGAGAGGAGTAAGGAAAAAGGCTCACCAAGCCTGGTTCCCTCTGCAAAAGTTGCTACATGTTGCATCTAAATGCTCAGATTTTTCACCACAGATCTGCTCCCTTGCCTCTTGTCCCTTGTCTTGTCTTTGGGCAGTTAAGTACCCCCACGCATCTATATGGCTTTGAGTTCTGTCCAGTCAAAGATCATCATCATATCTTTGCAGTCTAATTTTCCAGGGCCTTTCTGAATTCTAATTCCCCCTTTGTTAGTGACTGAACATCTCTGTCTCATGTGGACACTTTACATGCCTTTTTTTACAGGGGCAAATGTGAGTTTCATGGATATAGAAGTAATTTATGTTCTCTTTAAAAAATGAGTCTCCTCTTGTTTCTTTAAGTGATACTGCAATGTGAAGCTAATGAAAATACGTAAGTACCTGAAGATAATGAAGTATGTTTCTGCTAAGCTCTGTGGTGCCTCATTTGTGCCTCATGCAAAGTGCTGAAATAAGTAAAAGCTTGATCTGCATCAAATGAAGTGAATTTAACCGATTTCAATGAAGATTCGTAAACAGGAGGGTCGACAACCACCGTTGTGATTCTATTTGGCTGCACACATAATCAAGAGAATTTCACCCAGTCATTCTGGCACCAAGCTCAGAAAAGGCAGTTGATCAGTAAATCCAAGTGAACTGCATGCTTCAATTTTCTTCAGAAAAATTATCAGTCAGAGCCTGGTATGCAAAGAAAGTCCTGCCATGCAGATCCAAACTCCAAATATAAGAAAAAAATTCAGGGAGTTAAATAAAGATTTGTGTACATGTTATGCAAAATTTTCCAAGAAAACCCCCAAAGTAGCCTTGTCATGGAGAAAGTTACAAAGGAGAGAAAAAAACAATTCAAAGGTCTTTCACTTCATCCGATACAAAATACCATATGTTTTTGTATGCTTCGTTAATGCTCTCTGGTTTGCTGCCTACAAATGCACAATGAGTTCAACCTTCAGGGGTCAGCAGTGCTCAGCATATGTACTATGTGAACTGAGTTCTAAGAGACTGAGTGCACTATTGAAAAAGGGATGACTGTCTTGAATATTAATCCTGCAGATTTTAGGTTAGACTGTTTGGAAAATCAGCTAAGTACATTCCCCATCTTCATTGTGGCATACACACACCACTAATCACCCGTACGGTTCTCTTCTGAGAAAAAAAAAAATTGATATTTCATTTAGAGGCTGCACTTGGAGAATATTCTTGTGAATACATTTGCTAGACTGTAAAATTCTCTGTTTACTCATAGTTTTGAAATTAGATAGGTACAGTAGCTGTTTTGAGCTTTCTAGTGCAGAGGACCCTCTGTTTTGAATGATAACATTCATTTTTGGAAAGCCTAATGCTATCAGACTAGCTGTATGTCGTCTTGAATAAAGCTTGCTAAATGCAGCAGAGGTTCTGTGGCAGCACTGAAATATAAGCAATGTAAAGAGAGCTTCTTCACTGTTTCATTTTTATGCCCAGTGCTCTTTTGTAGACTGTTCCACCTAATTTTAGCCTTAGTAGATTACCTTCAAATTAGAGGAAATTAGGGCTCAGGATTTACTCACAGTGCAATGCCTTACTCCACTAGAAGCCTAACAAATGTAAAGGAGCATAATTTTTACAGCTTTAGACTTGTCTTGACAATGTGCTTTTTATGGACTCTATTTAGCATACATAGGCATACATGCATGCAAAGCCAAGAGGCTGAAGTGAAATGACTCAAACAGCAGCTTTCTCCTGTTATAGTATTAATATTCTAGGCTTTCTTATTCTTGTTAAATAATAGTAGACTGAATAAAAAGGGAATGAGAACTGTGACGGATATGAAAACGAAATGATGACAGCATAATAAATGACTGCTTACTATTTCCTGCGTGTTTGCATAATCTGCCTCTATACTGCACCAAAAGCATTATAATATTATTCAGGACAATACAAGAAATACATATTTGTATCAAAATCTACTTAGAGTAATGAGTATTCCTGCTTCCTAAAGACAAAACCAAACTGAAAATCCAGGAGGTTTTTCACCTCTTCGGAACTGTACATGATAAACTGGTAATGCAACTGCATATACAAAGAGACATATTTAGAAAAGGTTAAAAATACAGTCTGAGCCCTATCATAGTGTCTTGCATGTAGAATGTTATTGCATGTAGAATACGCTACTCTGTATCTAACCTAGAATCACAGCCATAACCCCTGAAGGTATTTTTATTTGACCTCAAATGAAAATAAAAAAGGAGTTTATAAAGCAGCCATTTCTTTGCTACTTCTGTGGCATCTGTCAAGGCACTGGAAATGCAGCCTCAGTGCAGAAAGTGTTAGTGCTTCTGAAACATGTTATTAGTATAACTCTCGGCCTGGACTTGACTTTATTTTCTATTTAATGATAGGATGTCAAAACTACTTTGATCTGTATTAATGCAGTCGGTAGAATGAAAACACTTTCAGTCAATTAGTGTTTTGCTCTAATGCAATTAGCTATACCATCCAGTTTTCAGTACTGACGTTCTTTTACACTACAATCTGTCTTTCATCTATTACATAGCTAGGTGACTTACCACAAGGGAATAACAAATCTTGAATCCGGGTTTAGCGACAAAATAGTCATCAGATTTGAAGGTTATCTTTATCTGATTTGTTTTTGATGTTATTCTTGGAGGTACTTCCTTGTGTCCGCACCATCGTCCTCGTATAACTGTGCTGGTTTCCGATACATCTTCCACTTCCACAAAGTCATACCTGGGAACCAATTTGATGGATTACTTTTTGCTAACTCTGGTTACATAAGGTTGTTGCAAATAAGCAGGAACACAGCTTCAGATATAAAGGCAACTGCCCACTGTTCTCCATTACAAATGCTGGACATGCTGCCTTAGCACAAAATATGGTAAACTGCAAGTAACTGTCTGAGTACTCAAACTATTTTTTTTACTCTTGGACTATGACAGACAATATTTTCTGCCATGTTGAAATAGCAGTGTGAGGCACTTAAACACGCTTGGTACATAGTAAATATACTCATTGTGTTTCATGTGGCGAATAAATAAGTTAGAGATTTGACAAAATATTATTTAAGGCATGCTGCCCAAGCTCAGCAGCCACAAGCATTTGTGGACTTTCTAGCGGTCCCCAATTCCCCTGTAGCAACCGCTACTGGCTTCCTCCTCTTGTGCCTGCCATGTGGAGCTGGAGCTGGGCTGCTGCTGCTGCAAAGGGAGAGGCATGGGGGACAAGGCACAGTAGATGCTCCTGAAAGGTGCTTTTTAGGACCCCCAGAAACAGTCACTGCCCTCTGCCTCTCACACCCCCTGCTGGCAAGCAGCTCTGCCGTGGTGGCCAGGCGCTGAGCATGCACCAGAGGAGGTACTGGGTTGCTGAGGCTCTATGTGCTCCTCACTGTCTTCCCATAGGAGCATCAGTGGGCTGGAGGGAAATGTCACGGGTGCACCCATACACTGTGCATCAGACCACGCTGACTTATGTAAAGGAGAGGTTTATGCTCCACATACGCAAGGGTTCCCTGCAAGACATTTTAAGAAGCTAGCAACCTAATGCTCAAAATGTGTTTTGTAGGTAGCATGACGCTCCAGTTCGATCATTTGGAAAGACTTGTTCCAGGCTTTCAAATAGAGAATCACTGGCCTGTGCTCTGTAAGCTGAAGCAGGCATGCGTGCACTCTGTTGGCTTGGGTGCTATCACCAAAGGAAAGACAACAGGTCTGTTACACCACAATGGCAGAGTCAGCAGCGCTTCCTTCCCTGTTTAAGGTCACACCTTAGCTTGCGGTCAGGTATCTAAAGCACAGCACTGAAGCCCCTGCACCAAAACACCTGCTCTGTTAGGAGTAGTTGACCTTAACTGTCAGATAGGAGAGGACTTGAAGGGCCACACAATGACAGTGTTCATTACCACTATATATTCACTGGCCTGTGTCATTTATTGAATTTTCCTCGGTGTTGCTGGAGAATAACAAGCAAGTCAGAGAACAAAGTCCTGAACTTACTAAGTTTCTGAGAAATATTCCCTCAATGTCGGTGGAGCGAGAATTAGGCTCCACATATTGCAGCTGGCGAGGGAGAGTTGATGACAAGAGGGGCAAGCGCAGTGCAGAGAGAGGAGAACGAGAAACGGAAAGAGTTGCCATCCCCACAGTACAGTTAAGCCTTAAAACTTTGGAGGTCTTGACTCAGGAAAGGTTGTTATTATCAAAGCATGTGCTCCCTCCAAACAGGGCAGTTAATATTGTTAACTGATTCTTACTAGAAATGTGCTATCAAAGAGTTCCTCTATACCCTTGGGTCTGCGGATCAAATGCCTGCGTCTCTACCCAGATCGTGGGAGCTGAAAACTCTTTAAATAACAGACCTCGTTTTCTTTTTCTGCTGAGGGCCCATGTGAAAAAATCTAAGTACTGTACAGCTTGAAAATATCAGCATTACTACTTTCATAGTCACAAACCCCAAATTACACAGAACAGAAAATAACAGATTTACCATAACCAAATCACTATATCTGTCTAAACTCTGCTGAAACAAGCATTTTTCATGCCATAAGAATGTTTCGTTCCACACAAAGGTAAAAGTTGCCTCGGGCTCTCTCTGCCGTTTTCCAGCCAAGCTCCGAGGCTCCTATGCTCAGACGGGGCTCCCCAACTGCCTGTGCTGTCCCCACTGGACTACCCCCATGACAGCCCTGTCCCTAGTTTGGTGGGGATAGGCTCGAGTCTGCACAGCTTTTAGGCTGTGCTCAAAGGTAATCTTTGCTCAGAGACACTGCGGCTGTCCAAAGCCAGTGCTTGTATCTCCTGCCCTATGGCTGCATATGTCCAGCTTCTCACCCTGCAACGTAGATGCTGAACAGGTGCAGTCTTTTAGCTGGCCAGTTAACACGTATCGTAACATGAGAAGTTGCAAAATTTTCAGCATAAGACTGAACATGGTCTTGTATGCTTTAGTGAAAATTACCTGTCTGGCCTACACTTCCTGAGGTCAGGAGCCAGACTACCCTGCTAGCCAAAACCAATGCAAATCCACTGACTTTAGAGGAAACATTTCTGCTTTCAACAGCAGTGGCTTTGCTGCAAAGATCAGGGAAGTAGGTACAATTATCTCAGTTGTTTCTGTGCATCCAAAGAGCCTCAGAAGCTGGGTAATGTAATTGCTTTTCAGAACCATCTTTGATCAAATGCCTTTGGAAGTGCTAATAGCACATCTAGAAAATTTTGTAAAACCTTGAATATTTACCATCCTTCTGAAACAGCTCTGGTAAAATTTACTTTTTCATTCCTCAGCCTGAGTGAATTTTAATCAGTTCAGTCCTAATAGTATGCAAATTACAATAATTAGCATTAATGAAAAATGGAAAGAAAACACTAGGATGTTTCTAGAAGAAAATATAAGGTCAAAAGCAAGTATGAAAGGAAGCTAAGGTGCGGTTCCATTACTTTTCCAGTATGCACAGCGTTCATTTCAATTAAAAACATGCCTAGGTGTCTCTCTAAAGCAACATCAGAAAGATTGTCTGGGTATAGAGTTGAAGAAAGAACCTACTTTTGAAAAACATATCAATATATCATACTTAAAAAAAAAAAAATCTAACTATGTATACGGTACTCAACAAGCTTAAAACCATTGCAAGCTGCCTCCATGAGAAATTCCTCACTCTGGAAATAATACTATACAAATAAAAGTGTTCCAGTAACTCCAGGGAAAATTCTCTTTCAGCAAAGAATGTGATATTTTTCCAGCTTTTAATACAGATTATGGAAGGTCTTTGCTTCTCTCTGCATCATAAATTAGTTGTGCTGGAAAAAGCAGGCAGACTGTTTTCCAAGATGGTCAAAATCCAGAATGTCAATAATGATTTGACTTCCCCTCACCATGTCACCACCTTTAATGACTCTTAAAAGAGCATACTTCATCTTTTTCCACAGTAAATTAGCTCTGTGTTTCAAGGTTGAAATGATTTAAGGTCAGCCATAGTTTATCCTCTATGTAAATATTAACAGCCCACTTCTGTATGCATTAGACTCTCAATCTGGGAAAGTGTTTGTGGTGCTGGAAGGTAACTGTCATTACTTGCACTGATGTTGATCTCAGACTAGCAGCACCAGAGCAGAGAAGAAGCTGCCAAGACAATAAACATGCAGGGAAGGAGAGGCAGTTTCAGTCTGCATTCTTTTATTATTAAATAGGAAAGAAACCTGCAGAAATGGTTCCCTCTCTATTGATAATGCAGAAAATTAAAAAAAAAACACTATAAAAAATCTACCCTATTAAACCCTGCACAGTTGCTAGACCCTATAAATGCAAATTAATTGACAAAGACGATAAGATAAGCTGAGGCTGGGTGTGCAGAAATCCTAACAACCTAGTCCTCTGCATAGATAAGGCAGTAAGTAATAACGTGATCAGGCAGAGCGCTGGGAGCCGAGACTTGAGCTTTTCATGTAAGCAGCACCACAGCAATCCGGCTCTCGGAGCACACGTGAGTTGTGAGCCTGTTCTCCCCCCACCCAGATCAGATAGCTGAGTAAGAGAAATGTAAACAAAAAACTGGATTTATACTCTTAGTGCATGCTGGCAAGGTCCAGCTCTAGACTGCTAAAGCAGAGCAGCTATCCACCTCGGTTAATCACCCAGATCGACTGAGCTGATGGCTGCTTTTGCTTAAAAGAGAAAGTCAAAACAGCCAGATGATACTAGCGTATACTTTGTTTAGTATATTAGTACGCAGCGTATACTAATGTTTGTGGACCTATATTTAAAGGTTTTAAAAGAAACCGTGCCAGGGAAGAATAACTTTAAAGACAAACAACCAATTTGAAGAACTGAATACATACATATTCATACACATCTATCTCCCAGAGCCTTACACCTATTGAAAAAGATGTTTTTCTGCCTGGCTGAAACCTGACAGAGGTGACAGAGAACAAAATCTTATTTAAGTAGTTATCTGAGCTGTTAGGCAGCTGGTTTTGAGTGAAGAAGTAAGCGTACAAGTGCTTTGTACTTAAAATACTACAGCAGGACTGAACCCCCCCCCCCCCCAAACTGCCTCGAGTCTCGGACAGCTACGAATATTTAAACAATCACTGGCAAATTCCGGTTGGGAGAGACCCCTGGGGGGGGTTTGCACATCCAGCCCAGCCCGCCGCACAAAGCAGGGCCCTCCTAGGCCCGGCCAGAGTTACTGGCCACTTGTTGGCAGACGCAGGCGGGTGGCCATTTTGTTAAGGGAAAACAGACCCCTTAGGGGAGCCCTTTGCGAGCTCCCGCACAAGATGGCAGCCCACTCACCGGCAGATATCGTTTTCGGGCTCCTCCAGTCCAAACTGGTTATCGAAAGCCAGCTGGATCCTCGTGCTCTCCGGGGAGCGCAGCCGCCATGTCAGCAGGAGGTTCCGGGGGTAGCTGCTCGGGAAGCGCGGACTGTGCAGGCAGCCGTTTCCCGCCACGCCGATGGTCTCTTCTTTCCGGTACAAGTCTGTGAGGTGATTGCTCTCTGTTAGTAGTCACAACTTGTAGAAATTAGTATGTTGTTCGAGTTACAGGAAGGCAAAAAACACAACAGTTTATAACACAGCATGAATAATTTGCATTTAAAGTCTATAAAAAGTAGGGTCTAGGAGCAGTTATTGTTAAAAAGGAAATACAATGTTCTTTTCTATTAATCCAACCCCCTTTTAAACAATAAGAACAACAGTACTCTTTGTATATATTCTTTATTTTATGAAAAACATATCACTACTTTTACATTTATCTTAATTATATAATTTCCCTCTTACCACTTTGGTTTTAAGACAGAATTTAAACCTTAATGGAAGCTGAAAACGTGAAAACAATGACAGGAGACACAGTAAACTAAAAAGATAAACTACCCCACTTCCCAAATTTGCTGCTCTGGAGAGAGATGCCCTCTGAAAGAAAGCAGCCATAACAAGGCTACAGGAAAGTTTGTGCAGGTCTAAGTGTGTTTATTGTGCTTAAGTATTTCCTCCCACAAGCATGGTGTTAGTTCACATTTTCATTTCATTTACACGATATGAATCTTTTAATGTCAATGGATCAATAGTACAAATAGTTACTCCATGCTTACAACAACGTAACTGAGATCAGAATCTGGCCCACCAACTATTTTATTGAGTAATAACTTCAAGGTAAATACCAAAGTTCGTCCTTAATTAGAACTTCACAACTTCTGCCTGAGCAAATACCATATTGTTCCTAAAGTTTACTTGTACTGAGGTAAAGCCTCAGCTGCTGTAAATCCCTAGCTCCAAGGATAACAGGAACTGTAGCAATTCTCCCAGTGAAGACCTAGCTCTCTGAAAGTCAAAATGTTTTCTCAGTTGCGCCATGCACTTGGATTGTCCAGCTGTTACTGACAGTGGAATTTGCCACCCCGCGCCAAATAACGGCAGAAAACTAGTTTTCAGCACATTGACAATTTTAGCATGGTAAGATTTTGAAGATCAAAAGGATTCAAGGCAACATGCAGCTCCTGGTGGGATTCAGCCCCCAGTTAAGACATTTAAATATAAGGCTCCATATGTGAGATAGCTATTTAAGTTCCCCTTGTAACATGTGGAGACCTAGGGCTCAGTTCAGCTGCTCACAGGGAGATGTCTCACATCATTTAAGAAATTTGACCATTTCCTGCCTGGCCTCCAGCTACCCCTCCAGAAAAGAATGGGCAGGTCCAGCAGCACATCCTCCAGCCCCGGCAGAAGTCCCGTCTTGACTGTGCTGTCTCACGTGGTCACCTGCATGTGGGCACACTGAGACCCTCCTCAACACAGCCGGTGCAGCCTACACTGCGAGGGAGGTCTTGACTCAGCTATCTAACTGTATTGACTGAATTTCTACCGACTAATGGGAACTTAGATGCTAGCGCTCATGTAAACACCTAAACTCTGGTGTGTTGATCTTAAACTGAACATCAGCTTGAGTGCTGAGCTGAAGGTCGGGTCAACCTTCAGTTCAACTGCAGTCAACAGAAATTTACAACTGGTGCCTTCTCCTGAACTGGCTACCAAGGAAGAAAAGCATAAAGAACAGAAAATGCAGAATTTCAGTGCCATTTTCCTCAGCAATTATGAATGAAAACCTCTCTCCTCAAACCATCCCACAAAACTTCAGAAGCACGGCCCAGTATTATGTCACAAGTACAAAACGATGAGAAAATGAAGTAAGCGTCCAGCCACAACCATCTGTCACACACACTAATTAAAATCCTATCTTTTAAAATAAAATTTAATGTTTGACTGAAGCCTTCTAAGCTCTTTAAATAAAAGTAATTTATTTATTTAGTAAATGTTCATGGAAAACAAGAACTAAGAGAAATGGTACAAACTTCATGGAAAGTATATTTATTTTTCAGGTTGCTTTTCACTGGTTCCTGGCTGTAAATATCTCTGTGCACCAAGCTGTAAGCACAGCGTGGTAGTGTGTCAACAGTTCATCGTACTCTTCTGACACGGTAATAATTCTAGCTTCCAAGCACCCTGAAACTTAGAAGATAAAAGTCTGGATTCCTTGTAAAAACTATCTCCAAAGATCTATTTGTGACATCTTTTTAAGATCCTTTCTTTCAAGATGAAACGTTCTCACACCACATCTCCTGATGAACCCTTTCTAAGTAAATATGCTCTTGACTCTGCAGATCACAAAGCACAGAACTAAACAGTTTTGTTTTGTTTTGTTCTTTTTTGACCAAGCAATTTTACTTAGGAAAAGTGACAGTTCAGTGACAATAAAGACTACCCACCAATCAGTTTGGTTGCAGTTTTCATCAGGAGCATTTACACTCAGTTCTGTTTTCTATTTTATTTTATTTTAATTATTTTTTTCTTAGAAAATAATCATAAGGCCTCATTGTTTTTTACCTTAATCTGGAATGAAACAAAATGTACAGCCAGTCCTACTGAGTTGCTGCTGAAATGCTGAGGACTTTTGAACTCTGAAAGTACCTAGCAAACCCAAGAGGACAGGGTATTTCACAGGATTGATTCCAAAAATGTCTGGGAAAAGAGATCAAAATAAAAGAGTTCTGATGGAAGCAAATTCCTAACTTCTGAATGAAGCAATCATTCCTTAATTCAGAGCAAAAGTTATTACATTAAAATATGGTAGAATTCATCTTTTACATAGGATGAACCTTATACATACTTTGCACTTCCTTCCTGGACAGCTCACATTTCACTCTGTGGTTCAACACGGTTCATACTTCTGACTGAAAGTTTCCCTTTTTTTTAGCCAGTCTTAATACAGGTTCTGCTCTGGACTTCTCAGCTGCTGAGACTAGAGCGCTAGAAACAGTTTCTTTTAAATGTCCTGCTATATATACCTCAAAAAAAAGAAGTCTGTGTGCTTTACTCAACACACCAGTAGAGAAAGTATGTTACTAGCACGCTTCTAACCCAAGAAGATAGGCTCCACTGCAGTTTTTCATTAACTTAAAATATAAGTCACTCAGATTGGGATGTTCTACCAGCAAGTCAACCACAATTGACTAGATCAGCACTGAAATCTAATGCCTGGCAGAGCTCTGCAATCTCAAAGTTCAACAGGTAAATGGAGAAATAAAACTGCACATCTTAAAAAGCCTAATCTCTATCACAGCAAACATGGTAATTTTGCAGTAACTCGTTATAGCCTCCTATGATGGAATGACTGGCTGGAGAGATGAGGGGAGAGCAGTGGATGTTGTCTACCTGGACTTCAGCAAGGCTTTGGACACTGTCTCCCATCACATCCTCAAAGATAAGCTCAGGAAGGGCAGACTGTACGAGTGGATGGTGAGATGGACTGAGAACTGGCTGGATGGCCGAGCTCAGAGGGTTGTGGTCAGTGGCACAAAGTCTAGTCGGAGGCCTGGAGTTACTGTTGTCCCCCAGGGGTCAATACTGGGTCCAGTATTGTTTAACTTAATCATCAATGACTCGGATGCAGGGACAGAGTGCACCCTCAGCAAGTTTGCTGATGAGACTAAACTGGGAGGAGTGGCTGATCCCCTAGAGGACTGTGCTGCCCTTCAGAGGGACCTGGACAGGCTGGAGAGCTGGGCGGAGAGGAACCTC